ACCTCCCACTCCTGTTTGGCTTTCTGAAAGACTTTCTCCTTTCCAAAAAAGGATCTAGAAGTTAAAATGAGAACTAAGGAAAATGGAAGGGTCTCTGCTTCAAAACTAACTGACTTGGTCCTGTGAAGAGCTTCACCAGCAGCAAGGTCAGATAGTCTTTCCCTGCATAGGACCACACAGTCCTACACCACCAGCTGGAGATGAATACTGGTGCATGAAGCTCCATGAGCAGGGGCAGGAACAGATTCAGGTAACAGCTTGGTCTCTCTGAGAAGAGAGCGCAATGGAAACACGTCTCAACCTCATCTCTTTTCCTACCAAATACCACAAAAACATCGGCTTGTGGGTTCAGCTTGATTCTGAAGAAGTCAAGCCATTAGCTACACAAACTTCACCCATAAACACAGAAATGCTGAGACAGAATACAAGCTGAAGGACTGCTGACGAGACAGTGGCAAACTCCTGCGGGTTAGGGATCAGACTTGGAGGTCCAACCAAAGCAGTTAGATACAAAACCGGAATTCCTCTTCAGCATGTTTTCCTGATGAGGTCTGCAAATATCCAATAGGAAAATTCTTCTTTTGCTCCAAGTGAGCTGACCCCGAAACACGTAACAGCGTAATTAGCAGTTACGGGAGGGGAGCGTCTGTACTGACCTACATACCAGGCCATCGGGGGCCAGAGTTGTGCGGAGCTCAAACCAAAAAAAAAAAAAAAAAAAAAAAAAAAGGTCAGATGTCTTTTTTTCTTAGGCAATGCTCAGACACTTTCTGTGCCTGGAAAAGTGGAGCTACAACAGCTAAAGTGAAACCGTTCACACAACAGTTGCAACTACAACACAGATTTCTCCAGCCAAGTAGCTAATGTTGATCCTTTGTTCATCAGAAGGAAGAAAAACATCCCAATATATCTTTCTCAACAAGAACTAACTCACCCCCAAATTATGTGAAAAAAGTCAGGAACAGTGTTCTAAGACACTGCAGCAGATATATACTACAAAACAGTATTTATGAAAGGCTCTTCCCTTCTTCCTCCCACTCCTAGTGCCCCAAAGAGTAGGTTGTCATTGATGTCTGCAGGCCTTCTAAAGGCAGCAATAAACAGCAGGCAACATGAAAGGGAGGCTTCCTTTAAATTCCTGTTTCAAACAGGTTTAACATGGTTTCAAACATTGTTTAATTCTTCAACCCTTTACAAAGGGTTCAAGAATGTACACTCACAGTCTTTGAGATAGGAGAAAAACCTCTGGTCTCCTTCCTGGTTTAAAGGGGGAAATCTGTTTTTCTAGTGGTCAGATACTACATTTGCAATTACTAGACAACAGACACAGGTAGGGTATTTGTTTAATGGTCTCAGCTTGCACTGTATATAATTTGTGGTGATGCGCAGCTTCAAGCACCAAAACTGCTGGCCAATATATAAAAAAAAACATCCCTACATATGATCAAACATCTGCAAATTAAATTTGCTAGATTCTTCTGATTAAGTTCTTTTCAGAAGTGGTGTCTTTAGATACTATTCTTCTTATTAATGCAGAGATAGGCCTATTAATCCCCAACACATCCTAATGAAAAGTACTGGCTTACAACCTTCCTGTTGCTGCATAAAAGAAAACAAAACGATAACCCCTGCTGCCATTCTAAGATGATGCTTGGAGGAAAAACGCAGCTCTGGAGGGACAAGATCTTAATGCAACTCTGGAGGGATAAGAAGGGAGGATATGGGTTGCAGGAAAGAGATTTGGAGAGTAAGTGATGAAAGAGAATCACGTGAACACGGGAGTACAGGCTGTCACAATGCAAGGCATATTTAAGTCACAAACACAGTCTTAACCAAAACACCTCAAATTAATTTTTTAAAGGCTTTGTCACATTTCTTTCTAGGCAGGCACTTATACAGAGTCCACTCTCTTAGTTTTCATAGCCTTTCATAGCCCAGAGGCCCATTTTACTTTACAACTTTACATAGTTCATAAGAAAACCGAATCTCCCATGTTAGTGAGTTAGAAGTGCATCAAACCTATGACATTTAAAAAGATACTGTCTTAAGAAAAGTCACTACTCAGTCCACACAGTATTTGTATCTTCTCGCCATCTAGCAAAATATATTCTCCCCAGGCTGTGCAAGTCCCAAAACCGAAGTACCATTTTCTTTTCTGCACAAACACTGATGGTGAATAAATGTAGAACTACCTCTTAATGCTTCAAGAGCTTCTCTTCTGTATATTTTTAACCTGTAGTCCAAGGAAGTCATATACATGCAGGTGACAGAGCATTTTTTCCTCCCAAGTCTCATATAAACAAGGCACAGTGACTACTTGGTTTATGGACATCATGAGTTCAACCAGGTGGGCTAGACCTCAAGGTCTTCCCCTCTCAGAGGAAAAAGAGTCACAGATTGTTCCTATCTCCAGCCCCCATCGCTCTTTACGATGAGGGAAAAACAAAGTTGAAGTAACAGGTCACATTAATTGCAAACAGAACTTGGACACTGGAGAGGGGAGAAGAAAACTGCCAGGATATTTGTTTCTATAAATATTAGTAAGAACGATAGAAATGACAAGAATCAGAGTAGCCATCAAATTCCATATATAATTTTAGCTTCATGTAAGATAGCTCCCTATTAACAAGCTAGTTTTCAGCAGCACTTACTGTAGCACTTGTGCCTGAGTATTCCCAAGCAACTAGCTGCATTTCCACTCAGTCAGCAATCACTGACTCTACCTTATTTAACTGCACCCTTTTAACATGCCAAAAGCTCACTTTTTAAACAGTGGTAATAGTAAGGCCTACCCAAAATAGGATAAGCAACATTGAAACTAGTTCTCAGTCTATACCACCAGTCAACTCAAGGTGCATTCCGAGGAGAATTAGTGGTACTTGTTCTAATTCCCAGGGATTGAGACGCATTAAGGAATAACATATTCCTCGAGTTACTTATCCATATCTCCTGCTCTCCACAGGTTCTTACACCTCATTTGTTACCATGGTATCTGAGCAGCTTCCAGCTGAACATGCCACAATGCAACAACTGCTGCTGGTGTCACAGGCAGATTACGCAGACGGGAGGGAAGGTGAGTTCATGGGATGGCAAAGCAAGGCAGGCACTTCATTAATTCCTACCAAACTGTGGCCATACCAAAGCTGCCCAGGAATTCTGGTCTAGAGAATAAGTCACAGTTAAAACACTAGCAGAGTACTACGAACTTCCACCACCTCGGAGACAGGCATATCCCTGGCTATGACCCTGTTGAAGAACTTCCTGGGACACCTGGACTTTGTTTCTAAAACGCCCGAAGGGCAGGGCTTTCCCCCTGCTCAGTCCTGGGGGCAAGGCAAGAAGAGGAAGCCCAGCTTGGAGAGAACCCCACATTTTCTGAGCATTTGGCTATTCATAACAGCAACGACAGCGATGGGGCCATTTCTGTCATTGCTTGCAATAAGCAAAGGGGAGCAGTTCTACACATAACCCAAAAGAGGCAGCGCAGCAAAGTTTGTGACGGGTAATAGTAGACCTACAGCAACTTGCGGACTACCAGAATTTGTTTCCTCTCCCAGGCTCCGGCCGCCTATTCCCCCCTCCCTGCCCGCTTCCGAGGAGG